TTGCTATCCTTGACCGCACCGAATCCCTCTCCATCCCCCACCTCCAGATAGTTAAATGTGAGAGCAAAGGTTCGAGTTCAAAAATGTTTCGAGATCTATTCCGTTGTGTTTTAAGGAATCTGGGCAGGAATGATTGAGGAGAAAGGTCTTTACAATTATTATTTTCTAGGTTACGCTCCAGGAGACTTGATTTACCTTATTTTTGGAATACCCTTCTTTTACTTGTGTGATTTTGGGGCTGTTGCTGAGTGAGAGAATGTGGACATTTCCCTTTGCTGATGGGTAATTTGCTTCTCCAAGAATGTTACTTCGATTGGTGTTAATAATGTTCCATTGGACTAATATTCCAATGTCAAGGAGGGGTGAGGTTCTACAATATGTTGCTTTGTAAACAGACCTGCAAGTGTGTAATTAAAAGCATGAATCATAGGATTTTAAAACATACTCTCAAAATGGCTTGATTAGTAGAAATGCTTGAAATGTAGAAATCTTGGAATTGTCTTTGGAGATAATAGTTTGCATCTCAGACACAGCTAGATTCTGCACCTGAGTTATCCCCAGGAGTCGATCTAACTTTTTCTAATCTGTTTATATGAACACTGGAGACTTGTTGCCATGAAGGCAAGGTCTGAGAAGAATGTGGAAAAATATAATACTAAATGAAAATGAAATCGCCTTTCCTTCAGATCATGAAAAGATCAAAAGATGACCTGAAAGAAGTCTTCAGTTCTGTGACAGGGTTTGATAGAGGTTGAAGGAGAAAACATTTTTCCCACTTGCAGGCGAGCCCAGAACTAAGGGTTATGAATATAAGTTAGGACTAATCAATCCATAGGGAATTCAAGAAAAATGGCTTTAGCCATAGCAAGTTCCACAAGAACCATTCTACAATGTGGCAAGTTTGATGCGACTAATATAGATGTAATTAAGAGAAGTTAGATCAGGTCATAAAGGAGAAAAGAAGAGAGGTTTGCAAATAGGTTGAGTTGATGTCTAGCGGAAGGATTTCTTATGGACTATAAACACTATCACTGAACAGTTGGAATCAATGGCTTGATTTTATTGTTGTAAATTCCACATAAGAAAGATGTACTGTTGTATATTAGACATGTCTCAATTCTGTCTGTTTGTTTATAATCTCTATCAATCTTTTGAGTGACCCACTAGTGATTAGACACACCCCTGGAAAGAATTCCAAGTGTTTTGCACAACTCGATAGATCTTCTAGTTGTTATTTTCTTCCTCATTTGTTCACCAATGCAAGACCAAACTTTCTAATACAAGAATATGATTCATCTAATACCCAAAAAAACTGTTCCCAAATGGGGTGACTGGGTATACATGCTGTCAGGTTTCAATATTTTAATGCAATTTGTCAGTAATGGAACAACCTCTGTGCTGTTGCATGAATGCTGCATTAGAACATCTGTGGGTGGATAGAAACAAAATACTGCAGAAACTGGAAAGATGAAATAAAAATTTCAAATTATAGAAATATCGAGTAGGTAAAATGGAGAGAGGGCTCAAGTTAGCTTTTCAGGTCAATGACTGTGCTCCAGAATACAAACTGTCATTGACCAAAAAGATTAATTCCATTTTAGTCTCCATGCGCATTTCCACCATTTTGGGTTTTACATTAGGAACCGAACTTCATCAAATAGAAAACAAGGCAATACGTTCTCCATCATATCTGTGTTTCTCCTCACATTTGTAGCTATGTTGCAAATTTCACATGAAGGGTATTCATTTTCATACGGGTTTGCATCATCATTATGTTGTGAATGTTGCATGATGTGGGTGATCTCCCCAGTGTCAGACTCCACCTTGGGTAGTATGCTTGAAGTAAACCTAACCAAGGTAAGTTAGAGGTTTGCTTTTGTTCATTTTTGTCTGGATTATATCTTAAACAGGCAGGACTGATAGGGACATGAGGTTGTGCTATTAAATGCCCCTCCCATTCTTTGCCACCCAGCCCCCCGAATGCAACACTGTGGAATGTCCCAAGCTGCTTACATGGTGCTAGGAAAGAAATGGGTAGATCAAATGAATGGGTAGGGGGCTAAGACAAAATTACTTGTCCAATCTAGTGGATTTCTTATGACAGAAAATCTGACATTTCCGCCAACTCCTACAATTTCATGGTTATGTTTGTGTTATCAGTCAGCCTATTTGATATCACGTCGACGGGTAAGGCTGTTAAACATGATGGTTCAATCCTGCCCAAAAATATAATTCCCTACTCCAGCTGCGTGTTCTTACTGAGCTGCACAATGTACAACTTTGCGTTATTTGACTCAGAGTTGAATCAGCCATTCTGATCTAATTCATTTGATTCTTCCTACCTAAGCTTTGCCTTTCTCCTTGTCTTTATCACACAACTCACCACATAACTTTGGTTATTTCTCGTAATTCTTATTACTTGATGCCCATCCTGTGAGAATCATAGAATCTGTACAGTATGGAAGCAGGCCATTCAGTCAATCTAGTCCACACTGGCTCTCTGAAGAGCACTCACCCAGGCCTTGCATTTACCATGGCGAATCCACCTAGGCTGCACAGCCTTGGACACTATGGGCAATTTAGCACGGCCAATCCACCTAGCCTGCACATCTTTGGATGGTGGAAGGAGACCAGAGCACCCAGAGCAGCCCCACACAGACACGGGAGAATGTGCAAACACCACACAGCCAGGCTAATGAAGCTGGAATCGAACCCAGGTCCCTGGCACTGTGAGGCAGCAGTGCTAACCACTGAGCCACGGTACTGCCCTGTTGTTTAAACTCTGGGGCCTGTGATTCTTTACAAGGTCAATTTAGAAATTCATCAAGTTTTTTTAAATGTTTTCAAAAGCTCAATGGTTGTAATAATTATTCTGCCCATGGTGTAATGTTTTCATCTCACCCTAATGGTATAATCATTACCTGTTAATATTTTTGTTTTTTATTAGTTAAGAAATGAGATAATAAACATATGTTGTTGGTTTACACACAATACAACACACCTTTTTCAATTTTGTACTTACAAGTGGTAACATTGTCAATGTTTGGGGATTGGACCTGCCTCTTATTGAACATTTTGTGCTCAATGGGCCTTAAGCATAAGATTAATCAAGCTTTAAACAAATGTTCAACTACATTGCCTGATGATTGGTATTGAATCCCAGTTTCAGTCTGGGATCAAGTTATTCTGAATTACATGAGCAGTTTTGTAAAATGGATACCCCAGCCCCCCTCTCACCCCTCCAAAAAATGGGAAAGAGTTGGAAAATCATGAAGAAACATCAATTGGATTTTCTTCTCTCTCCTGTCAAATTTTTCTAATCAAGAATTTATTACTACTCACATTCTTATAATCTTTGTGTTTTGTGTTTGTGTTTTCTTTTCTTCTGAAAGTATTGTCTGTCTTATGGGGAAGGTTGCATTTATATAGTACCTTCCACAATCTCAATGTCCCAATGTTTTCCTTCAGTGTGAGAAAGATGGTGGCTAGTAGCACAAAGCAAAATCCCACACACATCAATTAGATAACTGTCCTTGATGTTATGAGTGATAAATATTGAACATGACACTGCAGGGTGGTGGGATTACAGAATGTCCCCTGCTGTCTAGTGCAAAAGGGCTGTTTAAATATGTAAATAGTCAGTCTACATAATCAGTGTTGGAAGGTTACTTAACAAGAGTTTATGTAGTATCATGCTGATCTCATCCTTGTTTTTTTTTATAAAACATTCTTTTAATTATATAAAAGTTAAAATTACCAACAGCCTTTCCCACAGTAGATTCTACCAATCCTAACCAAGGATACCTTTTCCCTAAAGTTCCACTGCAATGGGAGTAAATGTTTTTTTTGTGCTATGGGATCTTATGTCCAACTGCAAAATAAGAAGGAACTTGGTTTGATACCTCATCTGAAAATGGCACCTCTGATAATGTGGCATTGTATGGATTTCCTGAATACTTAACCACAGCCTTCAAAATAGCCCAGGAGCAGGTCATCTGTCTCCTTTCTCTGGTATAGTTGAACAATATATCTTTATATTTGGCTTTATAATTTAATCAATAGCTTTCGTAATTGAAATTCACCCATTCATTCTCCAGTTTGGCAGAAAGACCTAAAGCCATAGCTTGCAAAATGTTGGTATGTGTACTTCCACTAATGGAGCTTATATTACTTCCTTCCCCCCCACCCCACCCAGATATTTTTGAACAACCTGCTCAGAGATGTTATTACACACCTCCAGAGCAGGTGGGGCCTGAATCTGGGCCTCCTGGCTCAAGGTTAGGGACATTACCACTTTACCACACAATCCTCGCCTATACTGAGTTTGTACTCCTTATTAACTGTCCAAGCCAGTTTCTCAAGCTTTTTCTGACTTGTGCAAATACTGACAAATATGGAGATACAACCCTTTAATATGTGAACTTGCTGGGTTTATATATGTAATACTTTTTGTTAGATTTATGCAGATTTTGAACCTGCTTGAGAAATAGTTTGCAGATGTGATGAAAGATTCCTAAGTCGTGGTGTAAAAAAAGCTAGGTAACTTTTCAGTCAAAGTGCTTTAGAGTTCTGTTCAATTACTGACACCGAACGTTCATCATGCTATGACACCAAAACCCCCTTTTGTTCCTTACTCAATAACTGTATTCAGCCAAACAAAGAATAACTGTTAAACATATTTAGTATGCCAATGGCTTGATGTTTTGATACTGTATGGAACTGTGAATAGTATATGTACTCTTCTGTCTCAATTTGCATGTGATAATTTTATCAAAAAATTGTGTTAATATTCTGCCTAGTTCTGATTTTTAAATGTAAATATGTGATTGAAAGGAATTGAAACATTCACTTAACAGAAAGGTAACTGCTGTAAAAGTTAAAGTTTGATTTGCTTCTGTGTGATTGAATTGATGGTGACCAATGACAAATAATGTTCTTGTGAAATGAAGCATTATTCTCCGATGTATTTTGCATTCATTGCTGGTGCTTGTTATTTTCAGCAGAGGCAGATGTTAATCAGAACAATGGATCTTCCTCAAAGCAGAAGAAGATGGTAGCGCCAGGCTCCAAGAGCGTAGAGGACCCAAAGAATGCTTGGAAGTCACCCAGCACAGCTGAGCCAGCTGGGCGCCCACACTTGGTCCGCCTCTTTTCTCGTGACGCGCCAGGACGTGAGGACAACACCTTCAAAGACCGCCCATCTGAATCCGAAGACCTTCAAGCCATCCAAGAGGATAGCTCAGTTCCTGTGACGAGCTCAGATTTGATGGAAGTGCAGAAACTGTCCTCACAATCATCAGCTAAGAAGGGACAAGTAGCAAAACAAATGGCATCCGCAAGTGCCTCAGACCATGCTAAGCAAGCTGGAGGAGCCCACTCAAGGCAAAGGGACTCGGGTATACTCGACCAGCTGGGAAAGTTTTTTGGGCAAGAAGGTTCCAGGAAAGTACCTGAGAAGGGCAAGGTGAGCTCTGAGGCATAAAGGACTGAACAGAAGCTTAAACCTTCAGAAGAGGGTTCTCCAAACTGTCTCAGTATCAGCAAAATTTGAAATGGCCCATTATAAATGTTGACAGTCGTTTTCTGTTTTATTCCTTTTAAATAGTTTGTTAATAATGAAGAACTCCTTGTTTTTGTTTCTAAGAAAGGTGTTGCATTAGAATATTGGTAGACTCATTAGGCTTGTGCATTGTGTTCCTCAATTCAATTATTGTAAAAGGACTGTGCATGTTTTAAGATGTAAAGATTCCAGAGGAAAGAAGCGTAACACGGGATGAAGTGAGTGCTGTTTCTAAACTTTTTAAGAAGCTCACAGCTTCAGGACTAACTAAATCATAAAATATGACAAAACTTGCTAAATTACTAATGCATCTTTCACTGTTGAGCAGTAAGAGGAGACACATCTCTTTGATTTTGATTGGTTCATTGAATTGGTGGCAGTGAATCTGCTGGATTACCAATGGATTATTTGATCACTAGTGTAGATCAAGTGTGAATTGGATTACTAATGTTTGAAGCGGATGGGATCTTGAAGTTCCTAACTTTGGAGAATGAACAGTGTATCTTCTCTGTGAGGGCACCATCAGGAGTTTGATCAGAAATTTACTCAAACATAGTGGTCAATTCAGACTTGGTCCTTTCCGTGAACATTGGTCACTTTTTTTCAAAAAATGTCTTACATTTTAAGATTCTGTTGTAGTCACTATCCTTTAACTCCACTTATCTCTGCATTAATTGGAATCATATTTTTAATCTAACTTTTTTTTCACATTGTCCTTCAAAAATTGCAGAGATTCAACTATTTAATTCTCAAACTGTTGTCCTTTCTGTTGGACTGCACACTCAGTTCATATTTTTGTTGGTTGCCTGCGATTATACCTCATTAATAATGTTGAATTGAAACAAACGAATATCTGTCAAAGCTTCACTGGCTTAGATTGTCCCTTGCAGCTTTGTGCAGTCTTTGAATGTTGAGGTCAGCCTCTTTGTAAATAAATCTTGTCACAGATAGCAAGAGTCCAAACATATGCGAAGATGGAGTGTAGCATTCTTTGTCATGTGTGATATTTCCTAAATGAATTAACAACTTTTGGTACAGCTGAAATTGTAACTACTTTTGCCAGTGATTGTTGATTTCTTATTGCTCAGAAATATATGGATTTATTAGTAAAATATCCTATAGATTTAAAATGACAACTCTTCAGAACTCTGTAAAGCAAACAAAAATGTCACATTTGCTGCATAGAACGGAATTATAAATGCACTGTAACTTTCAGAATCCAAGCTGTTCACCCTAATGGAGTGAAACTGCATTTCTTTTTCATAAGGAACCTGATTGTTTTCATTTCTGTACAATTGACAAGTTACTTGTTCTTGGAGTACTCCAAGTCATGTTTGTCTGTCATTGCAGCTTGTAAATAAGTGAACTTATAGATTTGTCTGGAAGCTGTCGGTCTCAGTCAGTCACAATGATTGAAATGTGTTGTCGTGCGTTAATAGTTTGTCCCAGAAACGGTGTGGCTCATCAGAAGCATAGCAGTACTAGTTGTATATGGTACAGCTTTTAGTGAAGTAGGAGTTGCAACAGGTATCTCACCAGCTCAACAGCAGTGTGAGATTCTCTCCATTTTATTCCATAATAGAGAATCAAAGATGCTAAAATTTGAATGTATTCTTTGGTCGGAAGTGAAAACTTGTTCTGAACCTTATCTATAACATAGAACAAATTGATTTAGCAGTAAGATTAAATTTAAAGTATTCTGCTATGGATTTAGAAAAGCAATTGTCTGATTCATTAGTTCTGAAGCATATTTGCTGACAAGGCATTTTATGAACTATTCTTCAGAGAGTGAAGCGTTGAAGACATTCTGATATCAAAGAACACTGTGCAGTCATGGAAATGTATCTAAGACTTCAGATTTGCCTTATACTTTTTCCATACCACCTTCTAGCTTAAATTAGCTAAAGCATTCCATATTGAGCTCAATGTCAGTCTCCATTCAGTGCACTTGTTGCTGATAACATATTAGATCTCTGCTTTCCCCTTCTGCTTGTTAATGTTTCTCTCTCAAAAGATTGTGCCATCCCTATTAACCAACCCACTGCAGCAATTAGCAGCAACAGTTAGACACTTGCTCTTTGTGCAAGCCCGACCCTGACATTAAACCTGATTGCATTTGAATTTGCAGAGAAACAGATTCTTTGACAAGAACAAAAGTAGTTGGGTGGAAATGAACGCCCACGTACCCTGAGCAATGACCTATTGAATTTTTCTCTCGCTCACACATTCAAACTGTTCAAGCATGCTTCCAATAAATTTAAATACATTTTGTCGACATGGTGCTGCAAATGGATGCCACTTTGTTCAATAGTGATGGTAGCAGTGAGTACATGGGAATATTGTAACTATTGTAGAATATGTGAGTGGGATAGCTGACCAGGAATTAGCCATAGAAATACCCTTCTGCTAGCCATAGATACAAGCATGTCTTTATCTCCTGTGTCTTGTGTAGTATAGCCTGAGTCCATGGTCCTCTCTGTATTCAGTACATTGAAATGTGTTACAAAGCCAAGAAATTCATACATTTACTTTGAAATAGTTAAGTTATGTTTTGATTTCAACTAAAATGCCTTCAAACGCATTTGCATAGAATGTACAAGATTATTCAAATTAAATATTTTCTCAAGGGGTTAACAGGATCCTGGATATAGTGGCTATCAGTATTACATTTCTGGCCTGGTATAAGTGGATTAAAGGAAAATTTTTGTGATTTTTGATCAGAGATTTATGTTGGGACATTTCCCAGCAGAGTCTTGTTGCACTCTCCGTAAAGCCAAATGACATTAAAACCAGTGATATCAGATTTGCCTTAAGACACGGTGGTTGTCTGAACCCTAGCAAACCACATCCCTCTTCACTTAGGGTTGAGTTCCGGTATTGTATTGTCTGGTCTCTTCAGCCTGCTTTGAACCCATCTGTTATTCCGGACTATCTCCACAAACTGTTTCTCGGTCTTTTGACCTGTACATGATTGGCTGGACAGCTGGTCTCTGATGAAGACTGACACCAACAGTCTGGGCTCAAATCCTGTACCAGCTGAAGTCGCCACAACGGCCCCACCTTTTCAACCTCACCACCTCCCCTGAGGTGTGGTGACTGTCCAGTTGAACTCATCAGCATTTGTCTCCTGTCTCTCTAATCAGAGAGCAGGCTATGGTCCTCTGGGACTGTGGTGACTTTCACTGACTTCTATTTCTCTCTCCTTACATTCACACCCCACCCCACAGCCTCTGTTTTTCAATTAACCCTGCCTGTTACTGACTGCTCCCTGTCACTCAACCTTACATTCACCATTACAGAGGTGATTACACTGCAAAACTAACACATTAGTTATAAGAAGCTACACGCTGTTGTGAACTGTTGAAACTCAGCATGAAACCAGTCTGCCTATCACCACTGGCTGCAATGCCACTCTTTCTTGCTCGTTTCAACTACTTTGCCTGTCCCTACCTATAGCTCCCTTCTCTACTTGGCCACTGTGGTTTTTCTCTGTTTATCTGTAATGTCAGTCTTTAGATGTGTTTGTTGCTCCCAACTTCTTTGCTCACAAGCATTTGCTTTTCTTCTGAGCGCATTCAGAGCTGTGTCTGAATGAAAGATCAATTTCATACCTTTTCTCACCAGTTTTTGCTCAGTGGGCATATAAGTCTCAATTTATTGCTTCAAGGAGCGGAACTGACTGGTTTGGCAATTGAGCATTTTGCTTTAGGAGAGCTATTAGGGAATGAGGCAGAAATATTGCCATTCCTTTATAAAACACATGTCCTGCGTTGAGCCACTCAATTTTGATTTACCCATGGCCCAGAGACATTACACCTTTATTTTGAGGTAAGAGAAACTGGTGATGAAAACTAAGACAAAATAAAAATGTATTGTAATTAAAGATCACCAAATGTGTTTGTCGTCTTTCTAATATGTATTACATGAAACACTCAGAAAACCAAAGGTGTGCTATTGACCTAAAATTCAGTTAAAGTTTTTTTTAAAAAGTCATAATACTGATTAAATTTTTCAAAACTCCAAAATGAACAGCATAAAACAAGGCTTTATTATCAATCTAGTCATTGTGAATTGAGTATTACAGGGTTTTATTTCGAGAAATTCATCAGATGATCTTTTGTCTTCATTGCCTGTGTGTCCAATGAACTATTCAGTTTTATTATCCTTAGTGTATACTTAAACCAAAGCCATTTGTAAATACCTTCACCACAGTATTATAGCGCATAGTACAAACCTAGCAAGATCTTGTTTATAAGACTAATAGGATTGTGATTGAAAGTCATGTGGAATGCCAGTGTTTGTGGGGATGAAATTGGTTTGCCTTCTATATTTAGGAGGAAGATGTTATTTTTCCACAAAGTTGTTCCCCTTTCTGTAACATTCAAGGCATTTGTGTCAAGAATGGAAATGTGCAGAAATCGTACTTTTTTAGGCTTTTGTTAAGGCCACTAGTTTGGTTGCAAACATTTGCAGTGAGCAGGAGCAAGTTCTTTCTACCCTTCTCGAACCTCCCCTATTTTCTTTTCCTTCAAAAAAAAGGACTGTTGAGATTACTATTTGGTGTTGTGGAAACAGTGTCTGCAAAATCACATCACTCAAAGAAGCCAGTGTATCATTAACCAGCCCAAACTCTCATATCAACAGGCTTGCAATCTGAATTGATAATCTTGCGTGGTTTCTACTGTATATGCTATTTTGTTTGTTTTGCATTTTCTTTTGCTCAATAAAAAGAATGGTATGCTCTGGACATTTTTTTTAAGATGTGTCATATCAAAGATGTTTTTCTTATAGTATTTTATTTTGCAGCTGAAAGTTAACGGTACAGTCAAGCAGATAATGTCCTGTTGGTTAATTATGTAACTGAATTAAACCTTTTACATTATGACTGTGACTTCAATGTTGTC